TGTAAATCCATAAATGGCAGTACCCTGAACCTTGTGGAGACCCCTGATTCCCCCCCCCCACATTTTTTGGCCACCGTACCAAGCAGAGTTGGCAAACTTTGGAAGAACGGCATGGATAGGAATTGCGCCATTTCCCCAAAACCAAACCTGTGTCTCAGGAAATCCCTGACTCCCTTTTGCTCCCCTCCACGCGGGGCGTCTTCAGGGCCCGAAATCAGTGACTCGCCCTCCTCCTCCTCCTCTTCCTCCCCACCCACCCCCACCAAAGCCTTCTTTCGCAAGGCAAGCAAAAAGCCGTCAAAAACGTCAAGAAAAGCAGCAGATGTTTTAATTGTGGGTCATTTACAGAAGCCACACAGTGTGTACCGAAGCCCTTCCAAGAGACTGTGTGAACAGTGGCGGCACAGATATGATTGTCATCATGCCCAGTTTGTTAGCCGAGATTGGACCGAAAGGAAATACGAAATGCAGCTGGTTTCGGAGAAAAGGTACCGGAAGAGAAATCACGGCCGTGCACCCAACCAGGAAAGTGCGCAGCTGGCTTCCCGGGCTGTGCGTCTGCTTCGGCGTGGGGTTGCTGTGGGTTTCGGGGTTTTTTTCCCCCCGCCGTTTTCCCCTTGTTTTTGCCCTTTGTTTTGTTTCATCCCACTGTTTCATGTCTTTATTTTTTGCAATCTGTCAGCGTAATCGAATCAGGAAATGAGCACAAGCGTAAATGCCAACGATGTGATGTGCTGTGCGTCGTCTCCATTTGGAGAAGAATTGATTTGCTAATGCAAAGTGTCTTTGGGAGGACAAAGAGGGAAGGTTTCAAGTTTCGTTAAGGAGAGAAGCCTTCACCCAACACGGGTTGATCAAGCACCGAAATCCAGGTCGAGTAACGACACGACACGTTCTGGGCACAGGCCGTCTTCTGCTGCGCAGATCCAGCTGGGGCTGTCGCCCGATTTAAAGGCAGGTCCCTGCGCTCTCCTTGGGATTTCAGTGCTTCGTCCCACCAAGTCCTCTCGGGAGACCCGGCAAAACGCCCTTGTGATTTTGTCTTTTTTTTGCTTGGAGGGCGAATTATCAAAGCTTTACAAGTATAAAAAGTACAGGTAAGCCCACGGACGACTCGGTTGTCCAGTTAGAAAAATAACAGTCCAGCAATTCATTTCCCACAATGGGACTGGCCCATTGTGATTTTTTTAAAAAAAAAATTAGGAATATTAATCCACAGATAATCCAAAGATCTCGGAAAAGAGTCCTCCTGCTGCTGGCCCAGGGCTTGGGGAGTCCTTTGCTGCAGCATTCAGGAGGGGAGGAGAAAGCGGGTAACACATCAGCAAGGCCTGAGACGCAAAAGGCGGGTGTCAAGTTTGCTTCCGGTGGCTCAGCCCCGCGTTTTCAGATTCGTATGTGGAAGGTGCTGCAAAGGGAAGGGAGGGAGGCAGGCAACAGGAAGAGGGAGGGAGGGAGAGAGGGAGGGAGGGAGGCAACAGGAAGGAGGGAGAGGGAGGCAACAGGAAGAGGGAGGGAGAGGGAGAGAGGGAGGGAGGCAACAGGAAGAGGGAGAGAGGGAGGGAGGGAGGCAACAGGAAGAGGAAGAGAGGGAGGGAGAGAGGGAGGGAGGCAACAGGAAAGAGGGAGAGGGAGGCATCAGGGAGAGGGAGGGAGGAGCAACAAAACAACATGAGAGCAGGAACAGAGCTGGTGCCATCATTAAACATTAAACTAGCCCAGCCTAGCTTCGATTGGACCAAGGAATCCCTCCCGTCAAACGTTTCCAGGGACGGAGGGAACTGGAGTCCGGAGCAGGTTGGTCTGCTCCACGGTTCTCGGGCCCTGAAACCGCTCCTGCCTGTCCTGAAGCCTCCCTCCGGCCCCCGCCAGCCAAGCTCACGGAGCATCGCTCACGCCAGCCGGCTTTGCACCCACGAGATTTCCTGGGCAAGTCCCGGCCTGCTGCAATCACCAAGCCTGCCACGAGGACCATCCGGGGCTGCCAAGCCTCACCGTAGCCGCAGTCCCACCACAGGCCTCACCTAGTTACTGAATAACCGATGGTCCGTTTTTGCACAATACACGGAATCATAAAGCTGATTAAGTTATTGAAGGAACCCATTGCCGGGACTGGCACAACGCGCTAAACCACACTCCCAGCATGTAATACTAAGCAAAGTTGGCCGTTTGTGCAAGCAACCAGCCTCCAACCAGCTTGATTAAATAAGTTGGGTGAACCTACCTCACCTGAGGCTCCCTTATCCTACAGATCTGTGCGTGTGTGTGCGTGTGTGTGTGTGTGTGAAAGAAAGTTTCAGCTTCCACAATGATTTATAAAACAATTTCCTGTGAAAAGGCAGCCAGCCTTGTAGAACAGAACACTTAGCTACTGCCAGCTGGGAGTGCTAATGGTTCCATTAAAATACCCAGCGCTCAAAATGATCGCATTTTTTAAAAGCGAAACGATCCCACAGGGATCCCATTTTCAGAATCAGTAAGTGCCTTCGCTCTCGCCTGGACGTTTGGGCTTCTGGGGTTTAGACCAAGGGAAACCATTCCTCGGGCCCCGACCGAGCAGATCGGTGGGGGGTTAGCGGCTCTCGAAAAAGTTCCTTTTCCTTCCAAAGGAGGAATGGAAATCAGAGAGGGTTGGGGGTTTTTTGGCATTTTTATATCCTTGCCAGCGGCGGATTGATTGGCACAGCGGCTTCTTTATTCTGCAACCCCGGGCCAGGCTGGGAGGGCCCGGAAGCCCATTGGGGTGGGGCACAATATCAACGAGGGCAGAGCCAATGCGTGAGGCTTTTTAAAAAGAACAGAATCCGAAACTTCTCCAAAGACCCCCAACCGCTAAATAAAGCTTAAAAATGTTGAGCGTAACCGCAGCACCGCCTGTTTTTCACGTGCATTGCACACAGGCCTAAAAATCAGGGGAACTTCAGTCACACCATCACGCCTTGTTCTAACTTTTTTCGTCAGACCTCGTGGACATCCCCGGCTGAAGCTCTGTTGAATGTATTTTAAAGGTGTTTTCTCGCCGATTTGCACCATACAATGAGAAAGAAACTCCAAGGGAGGCAAACCAGGGTAATGGGGGCAGGGAGCCAGGGGAGAATAGTGGGGGAAATGTTGGGACTTCATCTAGAAGGGGCTGTGCTTAAATAACCATACCCTCCGATCTACCTCTCAGGGTTGTTGTGAGAATGATGTGATCAGGGAGCATCAACAAATGGAGGTCACTGAATCCAACCTTGTGCTCAGGGGATTATAACACCCAGTTGGATGCATCAGGACCCTTTCAAACAGGAACATTATTCCAGATGCAGAGGACCCCACATCTCTAGGTTCGCCTCCTTGCTAGCTTCTGGAGGCTCCCCACAATGACCCTGCAAGGTAGACTTGGCCGAGAGATTAGTTGATCCGAAGCCATCTGGAAAGCTGCATGGAGGACCGTGGCTACGTTAAAACGTGCCCACAAAAACGGGAAGAAAAAGGAAACGCGGGCAGGGCTGGTCAGGCAGCCCCGAGAACGTTTGCCGGAGCTGTGTGGGTTACAAGGAAGGTCAGGCGATACAGAAGCACCAAGACGGCTCCTCAGAGAGGAAGATCTTCTCTGGCGCCGGCTTGTCCTCTTTTCTGGAATAAGTGAGCCTCTGGGGTTTCTGTCCTTCTCGTTTCTTAGCTTTGGCGGGG